AATGTGCATCACCTTAACATGTAGTGTCACAAATAAAACTATTACTTTTGTAAGAGAAAATCCTACAGACTCATCTTTCTTTCTCTTTTGCAGTGTGGCGCTGCAGAAACGTAACAGCGGGACAGGGATGGCATGAGTTCATGTTCAAGGGCAACAACAAAAGCCAGGTTTTACATAGGCAGGTGAACGTCCCAGCCAATGCAGCACCGAACTGGTGATGTAAAAGGATACAGACAGCATAAATACACTGAAAGTGGCTGTCCCAACTTCTGTGGACACAGGCACACGAGCTCCCGGGAACATGCCCAACAGCGTAGCACCGGATGGTCCTCAGCAGCACCATCGCTGCCACATAAGGAACTCTTATTTATTTACAAAAGTGCTTGGGGTCAGCAGGCAGCCCCATCCTTTCAGTCTGTGTTAAGATATGCTTTTCAGATGCTCAATTTATTTTGTTTTCTGGCACCTTCCAATATTCCATTTTCCAGGGCATTTTAAAGCTATTTATTTGAGAACATACTTATGCTGTCTATGTCTACACTCAAAAGTTCTCCCATGCCCTTCTGTAACTCTGCCGATCCAATCTCTAACCTGCATTACAAAACCTAGATGACAACTTGAGTATTTAAAGGTAATCTTGACTTTCTAAATCTCACCGATAAGAGTAAATCTGCAATTCAGAAACAGTAAAGGGCAAAACCAGTGAGGAATCATGAGTTCAACTGACCATCGGGGAAAAAAACCTGTGGCCAAAGGAATGAGCTCGCAGGGTGAGCTCCTGTATGCAAATATATGCTTTGTGTGGGTGTGTCGCATCTGTCCAGTTTTTTTTTTAGAGCTCATGCTCTCACATTAGAAAGCCAGGATCTTATTTTGTGGGTTTAAGGACCCATGTTTCAGGTGAGCCTGGTATGAACCGACATAGCTCAGCAATGATCTAGTCAATGTGGCTAAATCATAAAGGAAAGCAATGGAGAGTTGTAGGCTAAACAAGTGTAAGTATTATGGTCTTCCCTCTCTGTGAGTATTTTACAATTACATATTACTTATTTACAAAGTCAAGGCTTACTCAGTTACTTGTCTTCTGATATTTTTCACTCTTGTTTTCGCTTAAAAGTACGCCCCGCTGGAAGTATTAGGTAAGCTTTTCAATGTTTAAAACAGAAACAGGTAAGTAAAAGTAGTTACTCAACTAGGAATCTGGGTAAAAATGAAGGCCAAGTTATTAACATTAGGAAGTATCTTCACTTTTTGCCAAAAATTTTTAACCTGTGCAAGTGTATTTAGAGACTAAAAAAAGAAAAAATTCTCAGAGATGCTAATGCAAATATTTGCTTATTCACACCAGAATCGGCATATGAGGACGTGATGAATGAGACCAAGAATTTCACAGAGGTTAAAATACACCCAAAGTATCACAGTTAGTCACAGCAGTTCAGGAATTATCACTACAAGAAAATAATCATCTGATGCAGGGTGGCAATTCACATGATGTATTTTGAGCTGTCTTCCAAGCAGCAGTCAGATAAAATTGATGTTTTAAGTCATCTCCTGACCAGTCTCAGCCTTCCGCAGTAGCTGCTCAGGATGAAACCAACTGAGACTGAAAATACCTCAGAACATCTATGAGCAGCAGGTCTGATATAACCTCTCAAAAGGTTTGAGGAAGTAAAAAGTATTTTTGGAAAAACGGGAATTAAGAACCCTTTCCAAAAGTTGCTGTATGTAACAACCACCACCAAACTTTCTGTTTTCATAAGGTTCCCAAATAAGAGATACTTCTTCCCAGAGTCATCTGCTATGCCAAGTCAGAAATAGTATTTTAACATTTTTAAATACCAAAAGCCCTAGAGTCATTCCTATAAACAAGAAAATATTCTGTTTCTTTTGCAGCAATTTGATAATTTGCAAGGAAGGCAGAATTGACCCAAATAGATCTGTCACATTTTTTAAAGTAAAAAGAAACAGAAGTATAAATATCCTCAAATTCATTAGTAATTTTTTCGAATCCTTTTCTGCCACACAGGAGACTGCCTGCAAGCAGACATTATGGAAAGTCTAGATGACATCCCAGACAGCAATGGATAGGAAAGTCAAGGCAATCGACACTTGTCTCCTGATTTATGGTGAGACTGGCTACAGCAGAGGAAAAGAGCTGCTGGAACAGGCTGAACCACCACGGCACGGAGAGGGATGCAGGCAGAATGAAAAAGAAAATGGAAAGTAGAGTTCTGAAACAAATTGTTACATTTAACGATTCCATCTTTGTGGGTTTGGGGGGGTTTTTTATACCAAGAAAGATGTTACTTCATCGCGGCATTTACATCAGGCTGTACACTGGGTTATTTATTTATCTGAAGACCGGCTCTGCGTGCAAGCTGGTCTTCTACTATGGAACTTTTTTGTTATTAAATAGAGCACCTTTGATGTTATCAGTTTGGAAATGCCAGTGGCTCACTGTGCGTTTCCTGCCCACCTCAAGGACATTTTCACCACACTGGGCAGGTTTTCAGACAAAACGAAAAGTTTTGGAAAAAAATCAGGTGGTTAATAATCCTGCCTTCCAGTTTGCAACTGCCTTGTAAAAGCTTAGCCAGTTTGGAAGTATACACAGGCTCCCCTTATTTTTGGGGAGTGCAGAAAACAGCTGATGATGAACACAGCAGTGCACAAGCTTAAATGTCTGTGTAAAAAGGAATACCAGAGAAGTTTTCCCACAAGGATGGACAGATGGACACTGCCTCACTCCATTTTTGCCTCTTACACACCCACGCCTACCACGCCAAGCACCTCGGGCGGGAGAGGAGAAGGTGGCCCCATCAGACCCTGTACAGCCCAGCTGGTCCCTCCGTGCCGCTGGAGTGATAACTGCGTATCAGGTCTCTTACAGCTGGCTGTTGTTACAGTTTGGATACTTTCTTCTGATTCTTTGATCCCATTTTCATTTTTTAATTCTCTCACAGAAAGTAGAAGAGGAGCTGGATTGTGTTGCTGTTCAGAAACAAAGCTCCAGAAAGAACATCACAGCAGAGAAGACAGAGAAAGAAAGAAAGAAAGAATATAAAAAAAAAAATCCATGCAAGTTTATAAAGGAACATGGTTTCACAGGAGTCCCAGGACACAAGATCAGGATATAGAATCTAGCACAGATCCAAATTTCCCCAAACGCTGGGGATGTTCAGAGCCATTATTTTGAACCTAGTCCTTAAGTGAATGAAACGCCTCTATTCTCTTCCAAAATATTACACGGAAGGCTACAGAATTATATTTTACAATAGCATATTTAAAACCTCACCAACAAATGATGTAACAGCGGGGGCCGTTCAGTTCCCTATCTTGCTTACTGGAAAGAACTAATTTCACATCGCTTTCCCACTGTATCTCTTGAAGGAACTATACAGAGTATATAATTTTCCCCTGCACATCAACTCCCACTGAGTTACTAAGGCCCTCTCACAACACACTTCAAAGTGCAGTGTTCGGGGGTTTCCCCCCCCCGCCCAGTAACCTTCTGCTTCATAAAAATGAAATTGGCCCAAAGAAATCATCCTGCAACACATCTGCAAACACGCTGTCAGCTGGGAACTGTGGCCACATTCTGAAGAAACTGTCGTTTTCCTTACGGGGAAAAAAAAAAAAAGGAAGCAAGCAGGCAAGTCAAGTAAGTCTTGTACAATGAACTCAAGTTTCTAGCAAACCATTTGAAAGTGTGGCCCCAGAAGTCTATTTCTTTTATGGATTTTGTACAATTTCCTATACTCTCTGTATTCTTCCACTTCTCCCCTTCTTTGTCCTCTTCTTCCCAAGAGTTTGCTCTCTCCTGCAAAGGGAATCGCCTCACTCCTCACCCTCTTGGAGCTACTGCGTTCACTTTTTTTGATCCTTTTTAAAGTTCTGTTCCTTCAAAGCTGCAGCCCCCAAATTCTCTGTTTTTCCAACAAAGAGAACAGATTTCTGCCCCACAAAGCCACCTCAGGGCAGCGGCTGAACTCCCGCCTTCCCCGTCAGTCGCTCCTGCTCTGGCGTTCCCTCTCCCCTGGCCGGGGCAGGCTCCTCCAGCATCTCTCCCCCCGCACCACCGGGAAGCAAAGCAGCATCTGCTACTTGAGACGCAGCGATCCAGGTTGGCAAAGCTGCCTGCTGCTTCCCTCCCAGGAAGACACATGGAAGGAACCGATACTCGTGTATCGGATATCTGGAACCGGCTTTGAAACCCTAGACCGTTCCTGGAGGAACAGATTGCTGGCAATCATTGGGGGGGGAAAACCCACCACAAAACAAACACAAAGCCCTACACATTGCTATGCATTCACTACCGTTAATAGAATTATACGTCTTTTCTATACAATTTTGCATACATGTAGACAGACACACACGCTGCACATGCTAACATGAGTTCAAGCGCTGCCAGCCTCCCACACGGAGCATCCCCCTTCCCGAGGTTTGCCCAGAGCCGGGCCTGACACCTTTTGCACGGCACCTGCCGTGCGCGATGCTCGTCCTCCGAGAGGAGATTTCTAAAGAGCTCAGCACTGACCTTGTTGCATTTCCAGCAAAATCAACTGCAAAACTTAATTTGATTTTTGATGGAAAAATGAGCATCTTTGAAGTTATGCCCTTGATATGGATTTATTTAGGCAGTGAAATGTCACTTTCTACATCCAAGTGCTAAGAGAGTTTGGATTAGTGAAGAAGAATCTTTTTTTTGCAATTCTCTAGGTTTTACATTATCTCAAAATTTAGAGCAAGCCTGTTTGAAGGCTCATGTTCTTACTTCCTCTGAAAACGTCAATTCGTATTTCACTACTTACAGAACACAAAAAACTGCCTGAAGAGACAGCCATCAAAGATAAGCAGTCTTAGTTAAGATGGTAGACTTAGCAATACATACAAGAAAATAATGGAAACAAACCATCAAGAGATAAAACCCCACTTAGGTAGGCCTAACACCATGTACCGCTGCAAGAGACTCGGCAGACTAGGACAGCTTTCCTCCTTACCTCTGGAGTGTTTTTCTTGAACTCCCGACTTTGCTCAATAAGTTTTTTCCTGGACTGCTCGCTTTCATCTTGCCGGTTAGCCAATATTGTTGCTGTGGTATCAAGCTCTCTCTGTCATGAAAAAACGAAAACAAAAAAAAAGGAACTATTGTTAGAGCTCCGTTTCTCACAGAAATAAAAGCAAAGGCTCATCTGTACATCATGCAATTTGGAATATCGAGGCGGCTGGACTACAGAGCAAAGCACCAAGCTTCCAGAAATCGGACCTCCTAAATAACACCAAATGAAGTTCTGCAACGTTTTTGGTTCCATCTTGCAACCAAAATACCACTGTGGTTCTCAAAAGCATTCATGGCTTTACCTCAACACCACACAGGACAGCAGCATGCAATACACACCTCCCAATAATTTCCCCAATTTAATGAAGATTACAGATCCTGGATGTGTTCAAGCTAGGTTTATTTTCACCTGCCTGCTTTTTAAAGATACTGGATTCTCCCTTTTTCAGTTACTCTGTGAAAAAAAATTATGATTAACTCCTATATTGGTTAACCTTACACTTCAGCCTAGACGGGTTACACTTCAGTCAGTGAATTTCAAATGACATACAAATTACATATAGTAATTCTATACTGCCACTGCAGTGCTCTTTTTCCATTTAAGTCATTCCTTATTTGAATACAAAATTATCTTTTCCTACCATTGGAATCCTTTCCTCTCAAATTATTAGCAGATATCCCCGTTTCCTCCCCAAAATCTATTTTTTTTAATCATCTGATGAATGCCAGATTATCTTCCAAAAGCTTCTCCTAGGCTGAAGCACAGGCTCAGCCTACAGACCGTTGCCCAGCTTCATCCAAGTGCATTATCCCCATCCCAGGTTCCTCACTCAGTGCTGTGCTTCCAAATGGCACCATAATAGACTGAATGGGTCACTCATCAGCGCATAAACCAACACCACTCTGTCTTCCCTGTCACTTTATTCCTTTTCTGCAGTATTTCCACGTAACATGAAAAAACAATACAATGGCTAAACCCTCCACTCAGCTATGTACATCATTCCCCAAGTCACTCGGAGCTATAACCAAAAATTTGTGCAGGGATTTTGGCACTGTTTTCCTCCCTTGTTCATTTGAAAGGAGAAAAACCTGGCTCTGAGAAAGAAGTTTACAAAAAGTGAGAACAGCATGCTAGAGCAAGACATCAAGGTCTCAGCTGCAGCTACCTTCATCACGTCACTCTGCTGACCCGCCGCCGACCTGCATGCAAAATACCCAATACTGTCCACCAGAAAACCTGCCATGCCACGGGCACTTGTTCGTAACTCAACCACCCGTAACAGACCAGACCAAAAAAGCCAAGCCTAGGACCTCCTGTTGGGTCTAACTCCACATCCCCGGTAGCTGGTCAAGTTATGGACCAGGTCATCTCTTGATACCACCACATGCAAAACCCAGGGTAAAAGTAAAGCAGATTTGGGTTATATATACTGTCCATATATATACACAGGGGAACTCGACACCCAGTATGGGGAAACAAAATGGGAAAACAAAAGATTTGCCTCTTCCCATTTCTGCAGAGGTGTTCAAAACAGCAACAGGCAGCAGGTACCCATGGGACACCTGCTAAAAGCCCTGTTCTGCACATTTTAAAAAAAAAAAAAAAATGTACAGGACTAGCAGAGAATAAGTAAATGGTAATTCAGCTCCTGAATTTCTTTCTAGATACTCTGTGAAAAAGCCTAATTCCAAATTTTTAGTTACAGTTTTGCATGGGTAAATCCCATAACTCTGAATGATGGAACGGATGTATGTGTGTTTTTACATGACTCCAGAGTTTGACCTCTGGAGGAAAAAAAGAAAAAGGCCTTCTGCAGTTTCCAACTCAAAAGGATCAACACCTTTTTCCCCCTTTAGGTTTATTACCACAAAATTAAGAGACTTTTTTCTTTTTTCCTTATAAATACATGGACCATAGTTATCTTAATCCTTGGAAATAAGCTAAATATGACGAATAGATTTGAAGCTAGGCAGCATGCTGGAGCCAGTGACCTAAATATTGTCACTGTAATGCTTAAAACCCCCTCTATTTCTGACTTTGAGGAAAAAAACCAGGGCAATATGTCCACCAGATCTTGGTTTGGAATTCTGTAACATATGTGAAATCTATTGCAGAAAAGTGGGAAATACTTAACAGTTGGATAAACCACATTTGAAATTCATCCCAGCTAAGTTTATGCAAGAAAAAAGAGCAACAGAAACCAATGTGGTTAAGCAGTACTATAAAGAGCAATATAACGGCTAAGCAGAAGGCTTTTAAAAAATATAAACAATCTGGTACGGCCAGCAACTTGGAAAACTATATTTAAAAAGGAAGCACACATTTAAAGCAAAGCAAAGCAAACACAAATCATGAAGGGAGAGGGACTTTCAGCAGGCCAAAGAACCCAGCGCTTTGCTTTACAATACAGAGTGCTAGCAAGCAACTTCACCAATGGAAAAGGAGACTTCTGAAGACCTACGCTTCCAAGGTTACAGACAAGCAAGAAAAAGAACTGATTAAAACCCAAAAAACCTATTTCATATTTTGTGCTATCAGGAAGAGAAGAGTCCAATGGCAAACGGAGAATAACCTTCTTGCTTGACTGATACCAGCGTCCCAAAGCACTTATGCC